TAAGAAAATAACATAATAAAACCTTATCTAAAAACATACGCAACTTAAACAATTAAATCTCGTTACAAGATTTTGCCTTATTCAGTAACAGGAAGCAAACACAATTTTGAAATTGGACGTTTAATCATAGAGCCCTTACAACGAACAGTGACAACTCGCGTCAAGTTATCTCTACCCGGATGCAGCTCTACAATTCTGCCATACAACCACTTAGCTGGAGGTAAGATATCTTCTTTTATTAAAACTACATCACCTATTTTACAGCCAGGTTTACGAACATTCCACTTATGCCTTTGAAAAAAGTTAGTTAAATACTCCTGTTTCCATCTACGCCAAAAGTGCTGCACCATACGCTGCACTAATTGCCATCTGCGTAAAGTGCTAACTGTGACACTTTCATAGTTGTAGTCAGGAACCATTACCAATGGATGACCCACCAAGAAATGACCCGGAGTCAGAGGTACAGGATCCTCTGGATCACTACTACCCTGAGACACGGGCCTAGAGTTTAGGCATGCCTCGATTTGGGAAAGTACTGTGGACAGTTTTTCATCCCAACCGATTCCACTAATCCATAACTTTTGTATGAAAACCTTCGAGGTTACAATGCACGGTGCTATCCAACCCAACGGATCATAAAGCCTTGATATCTCTGATATAACTGTCCTTTTTGTTTCAGTTGCAGCAGGAGTTGACATCTTCACAGAATAATCAAATTCATCAGTGTTCCGATTCCAGGTAAGTCCTAAAATCTTAGTTATACTATCCATTTTTATTTCCAGGTCTCTACCAGAAGTTTCCTTCAACGTTTCCAAAATTGATGGTCTATTTTTTGTCCACTTTTGCAATTGGAACCCCGCTTTCTCTAATAGACAATTCTTTTCATCATAAATTATTTTTACTTCTGTTTCAGATTGACACCCAGTCATCAGATCGTCCATATAAAAGTCTGACTTCACTCTTTCAGCAGCCATTGGATACCTCTCGCCTTCATCGCACGCAACTTGCTGCAACGACTTTACAGCCAAGTAAGGAGCGCATGACGTACCAAAGGTGACAGTCAGAAGTCGGTAATCCTCGATCTCTTTGTTTGGATTCTCTCTCCAAACAATTCTTTGATAATCTGTATCAGGTCGAGCGACCTTGATTTGGCGATACATTTTGAC